AATTATATTATTTGAAAGTAACATGAACATTAATATTAGAACTTGTAATCTAAAGCAAGTTATGTAGATCAGAATTATATTATTTGAAAGTAACATGAACATTAATATTAGAACTTGTAATCTAAAGCAAGTTATGTAGATCAGAATTATATTATTTGAAAGTAACATGAACATTAATATTAGAACTTGTAATTTAAAGCAAGTTATGTAGATCAGAATTATATTATTTGAAATTAACATGAACATTAATATTAGAACTTGTAATCTAAAGCAAGTTATGTAGATCAGAACTATATTATCTGAAAGTAACATGAACATTAATATTAGAACTTGTAATCTAAAGCAAGTTATGTAGATCAGAACTACATTATCTGAAAGTAACATGAACATTAATATTAGAACTTGTAATCTAAAGCAAGTTATGTAGATCAGAACTACATTATTTGAAAGTAACATGAACATTAAATAAGACAATCTGAAATAAAGCTCAGTGTCATAAAACAGTACAAAAGAAAACTTAAAATTTATTATCATCAAAATATATCATCAGTTAAGTATCCCCTCCTTTAACGTTTTTAACCCTAATTGGAAAAATATCATGGAAGGTTTTATTCTGCTGTGTAGGTTAGTCCTAAATTTTATATTTTCTAAGACTGTTCTGTTATGTTTTAACTTTTGGTAGATTTTAGCATCTTGGAGTTCTTTTTACTTTTTTGGGGAATAGATTAGAAGCTATACTCTTCTTAAAGATAAGCTCTTTCTGTTTGTCTTTCTAACTTAGCACCAAGTTCACTTTGCTCTGTTTAATAAACGTAAACTGTATTTCTAGTTTGGTAACATTTACCATTTGGTTTGAGTACATCGACCCTTTAGAAAACAAAACTTGTATTCCTTTTGACTATAATTTCCACTGGATTTGATCTTATTAATTCTTGGGTTAAAATTATAGTTTTAGAAATATTTAAGTTAACTGAATTCTACCTGAATACTCTAATTTTAGAATTTTTTCTCTAAACAATAAACTTGAACACTTGTTTCCTTTGTCCCTGTATAAATTGTTCTTCTTAGTTTGTTACAAAATATTTAGAATTTTTTTCTTTGCTCTCTCTAATTTCAGGGAATATTTGTAAACTCAATTTTGAAGGAAAAATTTCACCTTAAAGGGAGAGTGATCATAGTACTTAATAAATTCCATGACCTATCATTCTGTCGAAGTTGAAGTAGTTGACTTATTTATGCTTACCAAAATGATCATTCTGTCGAAGTTGAAGTAGTTGACTTACTTATGTTTACCAAAATGATCATTCTGTCTAAGTTGAAGTAGTTGACTTATTTATGTTTACCAAAATGATCATTCTGTCTAAGTTGAAGTAGTTGACTTATTTATGTTTACCAAAATAATCATTCTGGCAGTCAGGTTGTGACTAGTTTTTTTGTTAATTTCATTACAAAACTCGTATTTAAATAAGATAAAGAGTTCTCAGATTAATGTTAGGACTTCATACAACATAGATTTAGTTTTTCTGCCTCGTTCGTATGTCTAACAAAGAACGAAACAACTTTAAGTTTTATTTTTATAATTGAAAAGTAATTTTTTTTGAAAATTGATCATAGTATATGATGAATATAGGTGGATGAAGCATTGAAGAGAGTAGATGTCATGATTGGTCAGTTGATGAAAGGGCTGCAGGATCGAGATCTACTGAATTGCATCAATATTCTCCTTCTTTCTGATCATGGTGAGATTGAAATTGAATAATTTATCTAATTATTTATTGGCTTAATTGAATGAAAATGAGGAAGGAGATTAATAAAAATTCAATCTATCATTGTAACAATTTTACAGTCGTATTGGTAAGAAAATATTAATTCCACTATTGACATCATAAAAAAATGATGAAACTTTCTACCTTTTGTTTTTATGGTTATGTTGCATCATTTGATATACAATTGTGTACTGAAGGATTGATCTTGTAATGTAATCTGAATGAAAAAAATGTGCTTTTCGTATGTTCATCAACTAGGTGATGATGATGTCGATGGAGCAGAAACAGACATGGGTATACTGTATATCAGTAGCAACTTTACCTCTTTTTTGCCACAGATACTTCTGTTATAGCTCTCAGAGTTTTCATGTTCTGAGTCACAAATATACCACCACTTTTGCCTGTTTATTGCAGTGATGTCAAATTCATATATTTACTGTTTAAGAATGAAAAGTGTGACTGTGTGAGTTCAAATCTACAAGTAGTATTGGTAATTTCATTTATAAGTTTAATATTATAACTATACGTGGTAGGCAGGCACGAGTAAGTGCTCAAACTAACCGATAATGAAAGGCATAAAAATATCACCTTTCTTTGGTTTAAAATACAACAAATAATGGTAGGCTAGTGGAAATAATCATTTTGTTTAATGCTACAACTAATAATTATAGACTTGAAAAAATGATATACATTTGAAATTAGGTCTTAATATCCTGTCAAGAGTATATTGTTTTGTACTGTACATTAATACAATAAAATCTTTGTTGCAGGAATGGCTGAGACCAGTTGTGATCGTGTCATTGTTCTTGACCAGCATTTTGATATTTCTGAGGCACATGTGGCAACAGGAGCCATTGGACGTATAAATCCAAGAGATAAGGACAATGAAAGTAAGTATATTATGTCTAACCTTGTTTTAAGATGTAAATTGAATCAAATATTGATTTTAATACTCTAATATCACCAAATGTATTGTTATGTCTCGG